AGGACGCCGAGGGACATACCACAGTCAGAGCGGAGAGGGGGAGAGAGGTAAGTGCTGAATGTCGCGGCACCGAGGATCAGGTGATTATATGTTCTCTATTCCACCCCTGGACCAAAGTGAACAATTAACCCTTGCAGTGCCGGAGGGGTACCCCCATTGCACAGATTCATTTTGTTAATAGCTAGAGTTCTTCCTAAAAGAGAACTATGGGGTAAGTTTTTTTCCCCATAGTTCTCCTAAGGGTCACGGGAGGACATATACTAGGGTCCTCGCGTGACCCAAAGCTCAGTATATCACGAGCTACAGCTCGCAGTATACTGAGACCGCCGCAGCCGGGACGGATCCTGACATTACTGCTGAGATCCACCCAGCTGCATGAGTGACAGCTGACTCTGCCTATCTAGAGACAGAGCAAGCTTCGTACATCCTGAAAGCATCTTCCATTCTTTTCAATGAATGCAAGGCATTCTGCGATTAGGCATGGGGAGTTCATGTCATTCATCCCCATTCACCAGGGTCAGATTTACTCTCTCTGCTCCAGATTCCTCAATGCGCTCCCCTCGCCACCAACCCCTCCCCCAATGGAGAATGGCAACCAGGGGCCCGCAGGGTTAGTGTTACTTTTTTTATCACTTTTTATAATTTTTATTTATCTTTTACTTTTTTATTTTTCACATTTTTTACTTTTTTATCACTTTTTTATTTTTTATTTAAATTATTATTTTTAATTTTTCTTTAAAAATTATACAATAAAAATTATCAATTTTTCTTACCGAGATCACTTGTAAACAAACGAGCGGCTTCCCTACTGTACATTTAGCTCTGCTGTAGTGTAGAAAATGTAGTGTAAAGTGTAGAAAACAACTACCTGTCCTGCACTTCATGTCCTGGGCGTCGGCAATAGGTATTACACACCCCTGCTGCCCCTCTGCTCGCTGCCGCCCTGAGGCCGGGCCTCAGTTAACCTTGTGGGAAATCCAGCCCTGCCAATCACAGAACAACTTGCAACAAACGTGGAAAAAATGCCAAACCCCCTTTTGGAGCTTCCAGCATTTTTAACTGCATTTTTAACCGCACACATACAAACACACATCTTGCTTGGCGCATTTGGAGTGACATTAACAACGAATGTCACCGCAAAGTGCAACATGTTTTTTGTACCTTTTGTGAAAGCACGCAAAATTGCGGGATTACCCAATTATCAATAGGGGCCTTGTTGTGTATATTTCACCTTGAGCTACTGAGCTCTGTGAGCAACAAGCTTTTTGTCAGCAAAAATAAGAAATGTGACTTGGAGCCTACAGCGCCACCTGCTGGCTGGATATACAAAACACAATGGAAAATATTAAAGTGCAATGTTTTACATTTACCTGATGACACAATTAATTAATGTTTTGTTCCCGACCGTAATTAATAAAGGAATCAACTATTTCTGAAACCACCATACATTCCCCCAGGTCAATCAATCATAGCCAAGTTGCACGAGCAAGTTTTTGTTGTCGGCGAGTGTCTGGAGGCAGCGTTCATCGCGGGGCACAGATGCTCAAACACATGCCTGAGAGCGAAGCCGCAACAGGACGAAGCACTATGGGTATTATCAGTGAGCAATGAGCAGTATATCAGTGTTCACTGTCACTCTCATCCTGCATCCTAGCGTGATCTCTGTTACCTCAGCCGAGGTCAGACGCAATAGCTGCTCTCCATTATATTTTTCACATAAAACCAAATATAAGTTAGTATGAAGTCATGACATCCTGCTGAAAATGATCATGCCACAAGCTCCTCCCCTTGCGTTGCGGTTCAAGTCAAAATAATGCCACAGGGAATCATTGGAGGCGGCTTGTGGTCCAACATGCAAGAGATGGTTATGGATCCATTCACACTGCTCTGTGAGTGTTACTGCAAGCTTATCTACACCCAAGACCAAAAATGTAACATATCGCCGTGTACCGCTCCTTACATGTGGTGGCTGCATTCGTTTTCCTTTTTTCAGGCTTCTTTTCTTTAATTTTCACCTTGAGATCCTGACAATAACACTCTTCATGTCCTAGGGTGACAACGCTCACGCACTGTATCTATGGAGCAGCAGCATTGTCATCGTATGACAGGAAGAATGTTAGAGTGACTACAGACTACCTCCCTCTATCCACATCTCCAGAGCAGCGTTTCTCAATCTTTTTTCAGTCACCCTTTAAAGTATGCAAAATCCTGAGGCACCCAGTCTAAAATATAATGGATTTTAACGGTGGGGCCCAATGCAAAAACCCACCAAATAGTGGGGGTTCCCCTTGACATCAAAGCCTTCTTTCAAATCAGGAGCCCTCCATCATGTCAGAGCCCTCCCTTCACATCAGAGCCCCTCCCCTTTGCATCATAAGCCCCTTCTTCACATCAGTACCCCCCATCACAAGCGCTCTTCACATAAGGAGCCCCCCTTTCACATCAGAAGCCCCTGTTTACATCAGAGTCCCCCCCTTTAACATAAGAGCCCCCCCTTTAACATCAGTGTCCCCCTTTAACATCAGAGCCCCCCCCCTTTTACATTAGAGCCCCCTTAACATTAGAGTCCCCCTTTACATCAGAGCCCCCTTTAACATCAGAGTCCCCCTTTACATCAGAGCCCCCCTTTAACATGGGAGTCTCCCCCTTTACATCAGACTCCATCCTTTACATCAGAGTTCCCTCTTAACGTCAGATGCCTTCTTCACATCAAAGTCCTTGTTCCCCCCTTCACATCAGAATCCTACCATCACCACCAAACTTCCAAGGGACCCCTGAAAAAGACCCCAAGTGTCACCTTTCCACTTTAAATAAGCTATTGAATTGCAGATTGCACCTCAATAGCTTATAGCTGGGCTTCAGGAGCCTAGCAATGAAAGCTCAGGGACCGGAAGTGATGCAGTCCGCGTCCAGAAGGACGGCACCATCTTTGTTCAGGCATCATCCAGGGTTACTGTCTATTTCCCGGACTGAAATGTTGGCTCAGAGATGACGCAGTCATGTAAATCCTGGTGTCTGTGCTAGGGATGCACCGATACCGGTTTTTCGGTATGGAGTACGAGTACCAATATTTTTCTTTTGGTGCTCGCCGATACCGAATACCGATACCGGAAGTCCCACTAAGGAAGCCGGGTGGTGTGTAAAGATTAGCAGGGAAGCCGTCTCCATGTGACGAGAAATCATGGAGCCGTCTTTCAGGCCAATCTGGAAGCCGGGCACCGTGTAATGCTGCGGGGCCCGGCTTCCTTATTGGCCGGGAAACCGGCTCCATGCTCCTTCATCACTAGGGAGCGTGGCCAATCAGGAAGCCGGGCAGCGAGTCATTACACGCTGCCCGGTTTCTTGATTGGCCGGGAAGCCGGCTCAAGTGACGGGGGAGCATGGAGCTGGCTTCCCAGCCAATCAGGAAGCCGGGCAGCGTGTAATGACTTGCTGCCCAGGCTTCCTGATACCGGAAGCTTAAGTATCGGGCTAGGCATCGGAGCATTTGGGCGGCACCGATACCGATACTAGTATCGGTGCATCTCTAGTCTGTGCAGTTCTTGGCTGTGTTCTCAAATGTCTGACACAGATCAGACCCTGCTGCAGCCTCTCACCTGGTGACTTGCTACAAAGTTGCAATGTTGCAGTCTGATCACTGGGGGGGGGAGACCGAGGAAGTCAGTCGCTGGAGCACAAGGATGCTTTTTTAATGACAAAAGGTTGGAAGTTTTTGGAAAATCATGCTGTTGCTGTGTATTGTGATCTGTCAGGATTTCATTCAGCTTGTAAAAGAACTGACAGGTCCTCTTTAAAGGATATATGACTGTCTCAGTTCCCTGTATGTTGTATCAGGGCCCTGACACTGAGTTGGGTAATACCTAATACTTTCGTCTCAATTCACACAGCTAACACACCAGGATGAGAATTAGTGGCAATTATCTTCAGACCAAAGAAATTTGAGAATTACAGAGTGCATGGTATTTCCACCACTAGGTGGTGCTCATGAGTATAGAAATTATGCTCCTCAGCGCCATCTAGTGGCAATAATATAGTGTGAACGATATTCTATAGGCTTTACGCTAGGAGGAAGGAGCTGCACGCGTTTAGCCCAGTGTACAATCTGCCAAGATGAATGAACTCTTGTGCAGGAGTTACATCATCCCGGCATGGCCAATAAAGATGGATGAAGATCCCACTGAGGTGGCTGGAAGACACCCCCGCCTACCGCGCGCTTGCCGTCGATTGTCTACTGATCGCTCTTTTCCAAGTCAAGGAAACTGAAAGTGTTCCTTCATGTACAAAGAGGCATCAAGGCATATCTAAACATCGCTCTGAAACATGAGGAACTACAAGCCCCAGAATGGCTGGTGAGGAATCTTCTGAATGGAGCCCCGGCTGCTTTCTGCAACCTGTCAGTCACAATAATAATAATATGGACTGCCATTTTGACCCCCTGGTGAAAATGCTAGTTGCTTGGCTGACCCAGGACTAGCAATGAGCTCAGAATCTGTACAGTGATCCAGAAAGTACTGGCAATGGAGGGTAAGCATAGCAGCCAAGCAGTTAGCATTTTCAGAAGCAGGTCAGCAGTGACAATCCCTGTATTTTCATTATGATAGGTATGCTTTGAATGGAATAGATGAAGGGAAAACAGGCACTCAGTATACTGTATATAATACAGATATAATAGTCACTCCAACGGTGTGGCACTCCAACTGTGACAACTACAAATGCCATCATGTCCCTGCCTCTGGGAGTCATGCCTGTGGCTGTCTAAGTCTTGCAGTGCCTCATGAGACTTGTAGTTCCACAACAGCTGGAATGCCGGGTTTGCCTAACCCTGGGTTAGATACTCTCCTCAGTGCAAAATATAAATGGCAATCTTTTCTCCTGAAGCTGCTGAGGAACTACAAGACCCAGAGGCCCTTTTGAACTAGTTCCTCAGCAGCCAGAGGCATGCAGGTTGTCACTCCCCAAACAAGCAGCCCCCCCTTCCCCCCCTCATCCCCTCTACTCACATGCCAGATTGCAAAGAAGATGAGAGCAGCGCAGAGCACCAGAGACAGCATGTAGCAGAAGGCAGCAAAAGTAAATGCCATTGTGTCCCCAAGAAGGAGTAGAAAATCCAAACGTGACCCCCAGCTTCAGAAATGAAAGGACCCCCAACGGTGTCCCCAGCTTGGAATGCAGAGCGACCCCCAGCCTGGTCCAGTGGGGAGGAGGGGGGGGGGGCTCTTCATAAGGATGTCCTGCAGCTTCTCAGAGAGCCCCTAAGTTTGCAGAAGAGCATTGCTAGGCTCCTGCCTGTGCCCCTCATACCCCCACCACTGGCAGGACACTTCTGGAGTGGCGGAATCCTGGTAGTAGAGAGCACCAAGTGACTCATTGCAGCCTGGATTTCAGGGGAGGAGAAGAGCTGGCAGGGCTGGAAGGAGGAGCTGTGTACAATGCCATCGCTCCATGTGCCGCCGGTGGACTGCGATGTGCAGACAATAGGCTCAGTACACGAGCGTCTTTATCTCAGCCATGTAACTGTCACTTACAGATCTCATTGGACTCAGCTGAAAATAACTGTCACTTACATACAAAACACAAAGGGGGGAATTATCAAAACTGGAGCACACCAAACCTGCAGCAGATTTGCATTGCAGCCATTCAGCTTCTATCTCTCATTTTCAAATCTTAACTGAACAAACTGAAGAGAGATGCTGATTGGTTGCCATAGGCAACTGCTCCAGATTCTGTTTGCTCCAGTTTTGATAAATTCCCCCCAAAGTATCCAAATCCTGATGTGTCACCTTTGTAACGTCAGGAGGCTGCAGGCTGTCATGCAATGTGGGAGCTCTCGGCTGTCTCTCTACCGAAATGTCAGTCTCTGTTCTGAACCCAAATCGTCCTCTTTCTCAAGCTGGCCATACACCTTACAACCATGGCACGACTTTTGTTGTGCGATGGTTGTAAGGTAATTAAAATCTCATACGATCTGCCCATCTTGGACAGGCAGATCGTACTTGCGATCATCGCAAGCCCTCCCCGCTGAGGTGAGGGCTTCCGATGATTCCAATGCTGAGATGATTCCAATGCTGGAATCACCCGCGATTACCGTACGATAATCGGTAGGTGTATGGGCACCTTCATACGTACACAGCAGTCCTTTTTCAGGTCTCATTAAGGCCAGGTTCACGCATAATTGCTGGGAATGGTTGCGGTAACGCTATGCGTTAACATGTACTGCATGTGGCAGCTCATTCAGAAGCTCAACGAGCAAAAAAAAACGGAACTGCACCTTTCATGCCAGCGCACCACATTGTGACACAAATTGGTGTGTTGCTGTACATTGCGCTGTGGTGTCAGCAAGTTCCATTGAGGTGCCATTCCGAATTGATGGCACTGCATCTCAAGTAGCATGCGGTGCCATGTGTTGCGGTAACGCACATGGAATTCATGCTTTCGCACAATGCAATAATGTGTGTATAAATATACAATATACAGTGTATGCCAAATGACCATGCCTATGTATTGCCTATATCGTGGGCCTGTGCTTAGTCCAGGCAGGTCAAACCAACAGGTTTCCTTTTGATGAGTGGCATACGTCGCTGGCAGCGGGTCCCTCTAAAAAGATAGCCACCGGGACTCTGCTTAGCTAGGGCTAATTCACACCAGCCCCAGTGCGTTCCGGCCCGATTTGTGCCAAAACGCATTGGATTGCATTCCGGCTGGCTCACTTTGTTTTGGGGTGGGGGGCGTGGCAGTGCATTGAAGTCAACGGCAGTGCGATATTCCACACCGGAACGTGTGGCACATCAATGCTTGCATTCCGGTCCGGTGCGGTCACAAATATTAGTGCATGTGGCCAGAGGGCACAGCGACCGGAGGGCATGGCTGCGGTGACGTTTACGCCCCCTCCTGCCCCAAAACAAAGTGAGCCAGCAGGAATGCGATCCAGTTCCGCTCCCAGGGGCCGGTGAAGAGTGAACCCTCCACCTTGCTTCCCTGGCTTTGCTGCCCCTCCTGTCGGCCTGGAAATGGCATCACGAGTGTCGGCAAGTAGAGGGGAGTGAGACCGGTGAACATCCGTTCGCCCATTTCCTTCCCACTGAATGGAGCCGGAAAATACACTTCCGATTCCTCAGCACAATCTGGACTTGAATAGCTTCTTTGCAGCTTGTGAGCCCCCCTATGTGGATAGCAATAGTCCCAACCCCCGCAAATGTGTTCACAGTAACGTAAACACGCGTCACGTGCGCCTATGCACAAACACATCAATTGTGCTACACATGTTGGGTATTGCCACGTGTGACAGAGTGAGATAAATAATTCTGGGGCCAGTATTCATGTATATCTCTAAACTGATGACCTGTTCGGGCTTTTAAATTGTTGCAATTTTGGGGTACCGTATTTTGTGGCGGTTTCATGGGCGCACGCAATTTTGAAGCTTGGCATGTTGGGTATCTGTTTACTCGGCACAACCTCTTCTTTTATCTTTCATTACAAAAATAGTAGTATTGAAGGGAATTTAAAACCAGAGCAGATGAAATCTGGAGCAGCTATGCACGGCAACCAATCAGCTTCTCTCTTTCATTTTCAAATCTTAACTGAACAAACTGAAGAGAGAACCTGATTGGTTGCCATGGGCACTTACTCCAGATTCTGTCTGCTCCAGTTTTGATAAATTCCCATCGTGTTTTAAGTGTAATTTTTACTGAAATTTGGGGTTTGATAAAGAGATGCTCTACTATCATGCGACTTACAACTTTGCAATTTCCGCCATTTTGTTCTACAGGGTCTGTGCTTTGAGAAAATATATAACTGTTGGGGGGGTTTTAAGCCATTTTTAGGCCTAAAATGTGGATTATAACATGTGTGTTAAAAAAAATTAAAAAAAATGCGTTGGCAGCGAAAAGGTTAAAGTGACATTAAACCCTCAGATTTTTTAACATAAACCAATACTGTGATGTGTGCCTTACTGTAATCCATGGTAGTTCCCCTTCTCTTTGCTGCTCTTCCTTTCAAATCCGCATCTCTTCTCATGCTGGGCAGAACTTCTGTTTTGCAGCAGACTGCCTTGTCTCTGAAATGGATACATGGTGTCTGTGTGCAGGTTCACAACCTGAGCCAGCACTACAGGAAGAGGCACATTTAGCTGCAAAGGGAAGTTCTCCCCCAGCATGAGAAGAGATACGGATTTAAAAGGAAGAGCAGCAAAGAGAAGGGAAACTACCATGGATTACAGGAAGGCACACATTACAGTATTGGTTTATGTTAAAAAAAATCTGAGGGTTTAATGTCACTTTAAAGCAGAAAATAATACAAAAAGGAATTTGCCACTAAAAGATTAAATAAAAACAGCAGCTTTTGTTACAAAATTCACATGATCCCCCCTGCAGTACCTCTGCCACAATGGCCAGCGTCTGCCACCTTTCCTGGACCCACCCCTGTCCATCACTGGATAGGGAAAGGAGAAACACTCTGCTCTCTCCTCTTATCAGCATGCCTGTTGTTAGCACATGAACAAATTGGCACCTTCTTCCTCTCACACTTCAGCCCTGCTGAACAGGCACTGCCAGAGCTTGATACCGGGTCAATTCCAGGTACACTGGTTGCATTTAGAAACAAATACATGTAATGATGTATTCATGATTACAGGGCCAAGTAGATAAGCCTTTTTTTTTATTAGAAGTGGTAAAACAAACAAACCCCTATTCATTTATTTTCTGCTCTGTGCCCCATCGGGGAGATCTCCCCCTACTTCCTGTCCTGGAGAAGCAAGCAACAGGAAGTGAGAGGGGGGCTATAATTATAATCCCCCACCTCAACCTTTTTCCTGGCTTCATTTGTGTGGGCATAATTTATTTTTCTATTTTTCTAGAGAAAGGGGGTCTAATATATGTTCTTGCCCACAGGCCCACTGCATCCAGAAAACGCGTGTGCAGGCCAGACGTTAGCTAGTGGTCACCATACATGAAGCTGCATGAAGTCCTTAAAGCTGAACTCCGGGATAAGATATGTTGTCTACATACAAGAGTCATGTGTATCCTTCCTGGAATCTCGGTGAGCTTTGTGCGGTGAGTGTGAAATTTGGAGCTTCCTGCAATAAAGACCACTCAGTGCTGCTCTCTCTCCTTGTGCAGGGTGACTGGTCTTGTCTCCGCCCCCTACTGTCATTTTCTGAAGGCAGCGTGTAGGGCACAGGCTATGGGCACAGGCTATGTTCAGCACAGTGATGATACTACTTTCACAAGGCATTTAGTTCACACAGAGATGGTTTATATCCTGTGTGACCTTTGTGGAATATATGTAAATCAGGGGTAGGAAATTTTGGCACACCACCTGTTGTGGAACTGCAAGTCCCATGAGGCATTGCAAGACAGCCACAGGCATGACTCCCAAAGGCAGAGGCATGATGGGGATTTGCCTACCCCTGATCTAAATTAAATATGTTGTTCCTGGAGTTAAGCTTTAAATATTATGAACTGTCTGTAGCATTGATGTTGCATCGGCCTAAAGCTAAATGCAAACTGCACTATTTTAGACTGTCACCTGGGATGTCTCCGCTGTGTCCTCATAGACCCGGCAGGGAGGAGACACAACTGCAGTCATGTTAGGAAATATTGGGGGAATATAATAAAAAAAACTGCAGCAGACAGAATCTGGAGCTGTTGCCATAGCAACCAATCAGCTTCTCTCTTTCATTATCAAAGCTAAACTGAAGAGAGAAGCTTATTGGTTGCCATGGGCAACTGCTCCAGATTCTGCCTGCTGCAGTTTTTTTTAAGATATCCCCCCCCATTGTATCTTGAAGGGGTTAAACTATATCCATGACCTTTATCTGGTGGCTGCCTCAGTCACAACGTGTTAATGTCACCGCTCTGTAGGGGGGTGCACAGCATCCGATACTCCACGCACTCAGGATCTTTGAACAGTCAGCGACCAATTACATCCGGAGGGCGGCTTCCGCTTACAATGCGACATTCCAAAGATATAGTTAATTACTATATTTATAATGGAGCCCGCGTGTGAAAAAGACGGGAAAAGAAGCGTGTATGATTCACCCGCTGCAAAAAATCGGGTGATCTCCCTCATTGTGTAACCTGCACTTCAAAAAGTGACTACTGGGTTATAATTGGCTGACCACTGCAACACAGATTTTTTTT